GGGCTTTGTGGTCCAATAATATCTCTTCTACTTTTCAAAATGGATGATGACGGTTTGAGTCTTCAAAGAAACAAAGTGATGTCTGAATATGGTGTGTGTGAGTTTTTTGCCAAAAAAAAAAAAAAAAAAAAATCAAATAAAAATAAAAATCAAAGTGACATCCATTAAATAAAAGAAATGAAGGATTAATTAACCAACAAATTAGGTTTGACTATCATGAAATTGTAATTTTTAATCATTCCTGAAAATTACTCAACCAACTCCAATCCCAAAAGGGTAAGGAATGGTAATGTTTCCGCATCTGTCTTGACAATCATACTTCGCTATTGGTAGAGATGCTGATGATGATGCTCCTCCTCCTCTTGTTTGTTCCACTAATACTAACACCATCAACTCAATCATCAATTTTTAATTCCCTCTCTCCTTTTTATGAGATTCTCATACTACTTATTATATTATATATTGGATATTATTTTTTTTTTTATTTATTTTTTTTTTTTTTGGAGAATATATAGACTTCAAATCTATTTTAAAAAGGAAAAAGAAAAATCGCAAATAGGAGTACTTTGGTTTATTAGTCACTCCATACTAATCAAACAACGTATTTATCAAGTTACACTAAATAACAAATGTGAAAGGAATGTCCAGCATACCATAGTTGACAATTGTTTTACTTTATTGGATGATGTATGTGTGTGTGTGTGAGAAAGAGAGAGAGAGGGCACAGGCACAATTAAGGTTTGTTTTTAGAGGTTGAACGAGTTAGAGATACAATTCAATCCCAATTTAATATGAAATATTCAATTCTAACGTAATTCTAACTCAACCTCTATCCCTAAATATTTAATACAAGTCCATTTCAATTTTGAATTTTTGGAGAAAAAAGAAAAGTCGCAAAGAGGAGTACCTTGGTTTATTAGTCACTCCACACTAATCAAACAACGTATTCATCAAGTTACACTAAATAACAAATATGAAAGGAAAGTCCAGCATACCATAATTGACAATTGTTTTACTTTATTGGATGATGTGTGTGTGTGTGTGAGAGAGAGAGAGAGAGAGGGCACATGCACAATTAAGGTTTATTTTTAGAGCTGCATGAGTTGAACTAGTTAGAGATACAATTCAATCCCAATTTCATATGAAAAATTCAACTAATTCTAACCTGACCACTAACCTAAATATTTAATACAAGTCCATCTCCACTTTGAATTTTTAATCTCATATTTACAACTTTGGTTGAGATTTCAGTTTAGCAAGTTTAGTTAATTTAATTTTTTGTGAGATTCTCATACTACTTGTTATATTATATATTGTTTTTTTTTTTTTTTTTTTTTTTTTTTTTTTTTTTTTGTGGAGAATAAAAAAGAAAAAATAAAAATTCACATAAAGAAAAGTACTTTGGTTTATTAGTGTCACTCCTATTAATCAAACACTGTATTCATCAAGGTAGACAAAACAATAAATGTGAAAGGAAAGTTCAACATATCATATTTAACCATGGTTTTATTTTATTGGATGGTCAGCGTAGGTGTGACAAAGAGGGGCATAAAAATCCCGTTAAACTTAAAATTCAAGCTGGATCAAATCAGATGGGATAATTTGGTTTGGTTTGTTAACGATTTAGTTCAATCATGCTTTCAAATTTGTGAAACCGTAAAGATACGGTTTGGTTACAGTTTGAGGTCCTTTAGGACCAAATCGGACCGAACCCAAACCTTTAAGTTTTATATATTTTTTTCCTAAATAACCGTTAAGTTATATATATTTATATATATGTTAAATTATATATATAATATAATATAATTCTATAGTCCAAATTATTTAGAAGTTTGTAGCAACTATCAATCATACAGTACACTCTTAATTCTCTTAGGTCTTTATCAATTTATTAGATAATTCTTATTTTTTGATTGATTTAGAGTGGCTAAATTTTGTTAGTTTTCTAAATTGTGGTTGTATGTTTGTTGTTGAATTAGTAATTCTTAATGTGTTAGGTTATTAGCAATTCTGAATGTATTCACTTCAGTTCAAAAAGTTACATAAAAAAAACAAATTAAAAGTTCTGAATATGTTAGTTAACTTGGTTTATTGTTATACATTTGGATGTTGAAAATATGAATAATTTTATAAAAAACAAAAAAATACAGGAACTGTGGAACCGAACCGAACCAAACCGGTTTCTCACTGTTTGGTTTGATTTGATCTTGTTTGGTTCCTTTGATCAAATGATTCGATTTGGTTTCAGATTTTCTGTAACCGTTAGGATCGGATTCGTTCCAAAAGAATTAAAAATCAGTCCAAACTGAACCGGGCATGTGTACCCCTAGCACAGGCACAATTAAGGTTTATTTTTAATGGATTCTTAAACTCTATTATTTTTGTAACTCACGCCTAATTCGATAAATGAAATATTCAACTCTAACACAATTTTAACTCGACCTCCAATCCTAACTATTCAACTCGAATCCAATCCATTATCATTAAATTTTTAAATTGATTTTTAGTTAGTTTCATTTAAATTACTCATAAGCACAATTTTTTTTTTTTTTTTTTTTTTTTTTTTTTTTTTTTAAATCATTCATGTAAATTTCTAAAAATTACAAATAAATTCTTAAGAAATTAAATTGATCATAATTTAAATATTATATATAATATATTTAAAATAAAAAATATGTACAAAAATAATATTAAAGTTTGGATTCATGTTAGGCTCGGGGTTGAGACCAAATCCAATTCTAATTGAGTTTGAGTTGAGATAAGTCCAACCCTAATTGTAAAAGTGGTTACTCAAGCCCTTTAAAAATTATAGTAGACTCAGAGTTGGGAAGACCAAATTGCATCCTTAATTATTTTGCATCACACCTAATTTTAAATTTTTTTTTTTCTTCAACTAATCTTAATTCAAGATTCATCCATAAGACAAATTTTGGAGTGATTGGGAAACAAAAGAAGACAAAATAATAGAAAGCTCAATATTGTCCTCGTCACATTTGGAAAAATTATCATGTTTGCAATTATTTATGGTAGGCTCAATAGGGGGCGGGGTCCTGTAGACCATTCTAAGCCGCCGTGGTTGACTATGCTTCGGCCACTGAATGCACATATATCTTTAAATATCTTTAAAATTTATAATCATTAACCAAAACAAGTGACACAAAAAAAAAAAAAAAAATCAAGGATTACAAATTTTCTATTCTATTATTTTTTTATTCTTATATTATAATTATTACATTTTCAATGCATTGTGAGTCTATAAATGACTTTTGTGACTAATATACAATCTCAACCTTTTGTCATTTAATATTTGTGTACGTCTAAATTTTATTTTATTTTGGTATTACTGCACGTAAATTCTATTTTATTTTTGGTGTTACTGCACTTATGACAAAGCTTGCAAGAGCATGTGTGCAACTTTGATCACGGCTCACAGCACCTAACAATAATCCCCTTTATAAGAAGAGTCCCATATACAACTTGCCATACAAGTTCTATTGGATTTGATTAGTTCTATTTTCCTTATCAATGGAAGCCAATAATAAATTAAAAAATCTAAATTCTCTTGAGAGAGAACAAATTACCAGATGAGGAGTCCTTATTAGAGTATGATTTGCATATTCATTCAATAATATAGACGTAGTTGTATCTCACTTTTTAAAGAAATTCTCTTCTGTGTTTTAGTTCTCGAGTAGTTATTCTAAAAAATATAGAGGAAACAGAATTGAAAAGTATTTGTGATGAAATAAAATAATATCAAATTTCATAAGTTGAATTCAAATAGCTCTATAAAATTGGAAGATTCGACCAAACACCAACATCTAGATTCAAAAAGGTCGAAACAGATATTATATTACTTGCTTAGACTTGTGAATGCACTAACTATTATAAGAATTAGACCCATGACATAGAATCCAGATGACTATCAAGAGTTTAAATTGCAAATTACAAATAGACAGTCATTTGGTGACCTTGTGGTCCACACGTCCACAAACAAATTGGTGGTGTTGTACTAAAATTTTTCCATATTCATGGATTATTTTTCTATTTTTGTCCTCACAAAATTTTATACTATTACAATGACCCACAATATAACTATAACAACACAGATGTTTTAAAAAATAAAACAAACTTAATACAAGCCCATCATGCTACTACAAAATACTTTAAATATATTAATCTTAAGAAAAGTTAGTGTTTAATCGAAGTGACATCCACCAAGGGCCTTGTGGACTAATAGTATCTTTCTCCAAAGAAACAAAATGGAATACGAATTTCTTGCCAATGATAAAATAAAAAAATAAATAAAATCAAAGTAACATTCATTAAATAAAAGAAATAAAGAATTAATTGAACAACAAATTAAGCTTGGCTATCATGAGATTGTAATTTTTAGTCATTCCTGAAAATTACTCATAATATTTCGTCAATTATTTAAATTAATAGTTTTTATTTTCTCATATTCGCCATCGTCATCACCCCAGAACGTCACTTTATTAAGCACCTATTTTTCTCTTTTTCTGAGTTTTTTTAGTCAATGTCATAAAATGAAACATACAGCTGCAATAGAAGAAAACTAAAGCAAAGAGGGTCTCGCAGACCATTCCAAGTGGTTGACCCATTGACTAAGCTTGGGCCACAGAATATCCAGGTCTCAAGAGTCTATGTGAGCCGAACATCTTCATGCTTGTCTTTAAACTTTTTGACAGAATTGGGTATCTTTAAACTTTAGTAGATACACTATCAGGACAAATAATCATTAACAGCAACAAAACCAAGACTACAATTTTTCTATTGTATTATTTCTTTTTATTATTATAATATTATAATTATTGCATTTCAAAAGCATTGTGATGAGTGGTGTGATTAATATTAAATCTCAACTTTTTTTTAATATGACAAGTGCAACTCAAACATACCAGCTTAACAATGATCTTCTCCATCTAAAGAAATTATTTGCCACACTTGCTCATCATTTAGAGGCTCAGTAGAGCTGCAAAAACTTTCTGCTAAGAATAGCACCTTTGCTGAATCAAAAATACAAGTTCTATTAGATTTGAATAGCTCTATTTTACTTATCAATGGAAGCCATTAAAAAATCAAAATCAAAATTCCCTTAAAAGAGAACAAAATTACCGCCCTTAATAGAGTATGATTTGCATGTTCAACAAGAATTAAAGGTCGTGAATAGCAAAGCCTTCTCCCTTAAAAGAGAACAAAATTACCGCCCTTAAAGCATGAATGCACGGGCTAGAATGGGACAACTGCGCCCAGATTCTCGTGTAACAAACCTTCTCCCACAAAATAATGAGCTTTTACTTTGTATAGGAGGATGCAGGGATGCCATTGTGCCAGCTTTTCTTCTTATGTGCTTCCGCTAATAAATGGTTATTTATCTTATCTGCATTTCGGATGTCACAACGATGCACTGTGATTACTAAGTTGTGAACGTCCAATATGGGATAACCTCGATGAAGAAATTAGAGGAGCCTCTTCATCTACATTCAAATCGGATGCAGTACTATTCCCTCTAGTACTTCCTCCATTTTTATCACTACTATCAGGATTGTAAATATCAGATGACTTCTTCTCTAATTTCCAATCCTGTATTGAAAATAAATAAACAAGTAAGATGAAGACCACACAACCTAAAGCTATCATTTAATTATTGCAAAATCTGACCTTGGCAATTCTTTCTGGAATACTTTCAGGAGGAAGTTGAGATGCCCGAACATCCTTAACCTTCAAGTAGTTGTATAAGACAACACCACATAGTGCTGCAGAAAGCATTCAAGTTAAATTTATATATATATCTACATACATACATACATCTATATATATATATATATTCTGCCTTGGAAAGAAACACTCACACACCCACTTGCCCCTATGGGGACTTGAATCCTCAATCTTCTACTTTGGAAGGCGAGGAAGAAAAAATTCACATTTAAGAAGTATTGTGATTGACAACTACAGCAGCACTTCATGCAAACAGAAAACTACCTATTGCATAGCCAATGATATTCAGCCCGGTAATTGTAGATTCCGGAAATATAACAATCGAAAGTGCTATTAGTATCCAATCTTTCAGAACACCAGCAACTCGAATGGTAACTGCTCCAGTTCTACCAATTACTAATAAAATAGAGAAGTTCAATGCCAAGGCGCAAAGAGCATTAGAGAAGAAGATCCAGAAATTGAACTGGATCTGTGAAACTTCCATCCCAGGCTTCTCCAGGAAATACCAAGGTATAAACAGAAACACGAAACTGCACATGACAAATGGCAAAGTATGAAAAAGTGAAATTACTATAAAAAGTAACAATTAGATAGCTGTCACTCCTAACCCACCTAAAGACACATCATGACAATAGAACTATGCATACATATAGCGTGTACAAGTTCAAAATACAAACAAGAGCATGGCATACTCCCATGGATGATAGGCACTAGTCTCCGTTCAACTTTTATTTAGCCATTATGATCTATCAACGACCACAACTTAATTATACCACACACTCATAGCTTTCCTCCCTCTTGCATTGCATTACCCTCAATGTGAATCACATCACTGTTCATCACTAAGTGCATTATTGGTCCCCCCACATCACATGAACATACCATATAGTTGATTGTCTCATTTATCACCAGTAGGTGCTACTTCAACAATCTTACGAATGTATTTACTTCTAGTTTTATCACACACCCATCATCATCTGGACTCTCCTTAATTGTAAGCAATTGGGCCTCGGTAATGGAACTGTACAATTTTTTTTCATACGAACCTTTAATATCATAGAGATAAAAAAGTAAGATAATTTTCCTTCATGAGCTGAATTTGATTTATACCTCAACTTTGATAAATAAATTATGTAAGCAATTGATCATCATCGTTGTTGTCGTTATCATCCCTGCCTTTATCCCATATAGGGAAGCTAAGTTGAGCAAGCAAACAATAACCTATACAAATGTGACGATTCTAGGAGACAATAACAATATATAGGCTTGGAAAAAGTGTCCATACCAGCAATGTACCAGAAATAACAACATAAAAAAGATCAAGATTTGATCATCATTTGATGGACAATGCAATCACCTAGTAGATTGTCACTCTAAATTTTGATAAAACATTCATAAACTGTGTAGATAGTTACTCATCTCTGTCTATTGAAAAATCAAAGAAATTGTCTAATTTTTGTATACCTGCATGGAGCTATGTAATATAAGCTGGTAACAGGATTTAGGGTCAAACCCTTCTTTTGCAGAAGGACTTGAGTCAAGACCAGCCTCAGAGATTCTGCAAAGATGCCCGTAACCTGGTAAACCGTACCAACTACATTAAAATGAATTTCCCCGTATGAGGAAATGACAACTCCAACACTGACGAGCACCATGTTCGAGAATACGTCCCACCTTAGTTTGTCAGTGCCACACAAAACAGCCACTAGAAATGTTGCCACTGGCACTGTAACATCAAGAAGCATCTTTATATTAGGATCTGAAAAAGCACCGTAATGAATTAAGGAAAACATTGGAATTTATTTTTCACATACTTAGGGATTTGAGCATCTGGATGAATGCCACAGAAATATGCAAGTAAGCAGTGTTACCGAACCTGTGACAAGAAAAACATCGAAAACAATGTCATTCTTCAAAATACAATTAGACCCGGCATTTTAGAGATAAATTAGTATAAAGCATTGCTGTCAAAATACCCCGCAAGCTTTCGTGATGGCCCTTTGGGCTCTAGGGATCTAAGTGATTGACAAAACGCAAATCATATGTAACATGTGCCATGCATTTGTTAAGTAGCTTTCTAATTGAAAGGTTAGGGAAAACTTCTACGCAAGCAAACATCTTGTACTTAAGTTCTTTTGAGCAAGTACAAATTTGAGAGCAGGCCAAGAAAAAGTATAGGTTATAAAGTGAAAAATGGACTGACAAACAAGATTTATTATACCTGTGGTAACTGAGAATTAATTTAATTAAAAAAAGAAATTATTACTACTCGGAATTAGTTATTACGAGTTGAAAATAATTATATAACTTGTGGGAAGAGGGTTAAAGAAAAGGGATGACACAACTACAGATCCAAGGTCAAGAGCCAGGACCTCGAAACCACCCTTGAGTAGTGTGAGTCACATGGTCTGATGAACTAGCAACACTGATGGGAGACCAGCACCATAGCAGAGAACAATGAGGTTTAATATGACGCATTTCCCAGGATCATGGTGTGGAGTCAAGGAACAATTCCATGGCAGTATCTCATAATGATCCTCAGCGTATGTCTTCATTTAGTAACATATGCTGATCTGGTGAAGAAAGTGTGGGCATCAAGATGCAGGTGCACATGCAATCTTGGTGGCCAAAGGGTTTACTCAGATTCCTGGTAAAAGACTTTAATGATACCTTCGCTCCAATGGCCTAGCTGCCTCTCACAATTGGCCTCTTCATCAGCTTGATGTGAAGAATGCTTTCCTTAACGGTGATCTTCTTGAAACTATTTATATGGATCCTCCACCCGGTTTTCGGGCTAAGGGGGAGTATGCTGGAAAGGTGTATCGATTGTGGAAGTCTTTGAATGGGTTAAAACAATCTACCAAAGCTTGGTTCAGCCGCTTCAGTGATGAAATTATATCCATGAAGTTTATTACTAGATGCCATTTTGACCGTACATGTTTTATCCACCGTTCCTCCACTGGTCGATGTATCATTCTTCTTGTCTATGTTGATGATATCATCATTTCTGGCAATGACATCCCTGGGATTGCTCAAGTAAAGCTTCAATTGGCTAAAGCTTTTGATGTGAAAGACCTTGGGTAGCTCAAATATTACTTGGGAATTGAGGTTGCTAGATCCAAACAGAGTATCTCTTTATCACAAAGGAAGTATGTCTTGGATCTTCTTCGAGACATGGGTATGCTTGTGTGTAAACCTGCTTCCACTCCTATGGATCCTTATATGAAGATCTCGGCTGAGTCTGGAGATCTCCTTTCTGATCCCTCGCAATATCAGCGCTTGGTAGGAAGATCAATTTATCTTACCAACACCGTTCCTGATTTGGCTTTTGTTGTTAGTGTTGTGAGTCAGTTTATGCATACTCCTCGTATAACTCATATGGACGGGGTATATCATATTCTTCAATATCTTAAGTCTTGCCCCGGACTTAGATTATTCTATTCTTCTAACAGGTAGGTTGGGCTATCATGTTTCAGTGATGCAGACTATGTTGGGTCCAAGACTGACAGACGTTCCACATCTGGCTTCTGTACTTTCTATAGAGATCATCTTAAATCCTAGAAAAGTAAGAAGCAGCCTGTAGTTTCGAGATCTTCCGCAGAGGCTGAGTATCGTGCCATGGCCCAGGGTACTTGTGAGATTCATTGGCTTCGATCTTTCTTGGAGGAACTAGGGCTAAGTGAAAAACAGTCCTCAGACTTGTTTTGTGATAATAAGTTAGCCATCATGCTTGCTTCAGATTCTATTCTTCAAGAGAGGACTAAACATATAGAGGTGGACATTCATTTTATCAGAGAGAAGGTTCGTTCAGAAATTATCAATCCGTGCTTTGTTCAGTCCTCTAATTAGTCGGCAGATGTGTTCACCAAATCCGTTGGTCCATCTTTGCTTCATTCCTTGATTACCAAAGCTAGGCTTGATCGATATTTTCACTCCAGCTTGAGAGGGAGTGTTGAAATATCTGTATTATTATTATTTATCAGTTGTTTTTAGCCATTTATTAGGTGTTTTATGTAAGATCCCTATTATCATGGGATCACGTAGATAAGATCTCCATAATCATAAGATCACGTAGATTTTGGCATATTTTCTGTTTTTCTTTGATTTGGTTTCCTTTCTTTGTACCCTATTCATGTATATAAATATAGCTCTTGGCTCTCGGTTTGAGTAAGCCAAAACCCAAAACTTCTTCTTTTATTAGAAACCCTAATGCATGTATGCATAAATCCTAATTGGAGTGTGCATCCAAGTGTCAAGTTACCTTTTCTCCCTTGGTGAAGAAGACTACACATTTACCCTTGTATGCAGCTTCAATTTCATCTTCAACCATGAGCACGAGCTAACAACTACCACTATCTTTGATATTTCTAATCTAAACTAGAAATCAAAAACAAAAGTTACAAACTCTAGTTTTGTTTTACAAAATTTGCCTACGTAAGTCCTATTAACCTAAAGATATACTATAGTGATATCACTTAGCATTGCGCGTATATACCTACACAATTGTAATTAGAATAGAGTTAAATTTCATTTGTTTGACTATAATCTTGTTGAGCTTTCCTAGTAGTTGGTGGTTGTAGAGAGTTGCCAGTGAACACCGAGAAAAAATGCTGAACTTTTCATTTGTAGCGAGGACGGATGTATTTTTTTATTCATTTAATAGTTCACTAATTTATTTTTGAGTTAATTGATTCCATTGAGGTTGATGAATTGGATATAATTTGGAAAGATAACCTATTAGAGCACAGACCATATTCAGGTGTGAGATAAGATGTTTTTGTATTTGAATTTGGGGGGTGTGATAGGACGTGTTAAAGATATAATTAATACTTAAGTTACAGCCTCATATGGTGATTAGCAGTAACATTTGACCTTAGAAATATGGATCAATCAATATCTTTGGGTTTTGATTAAAACCTCAAAACCAACACGTAATCAGTGTAGACAACCACAACTTTATTTTAAATTTCCCTGGAATCGTAAGGTTTGCTCCTAGCAACTAAGAAAATGATGAAATCAATAGATTAACATGAGAAATTACACCATTGGTAAGCCTATACAACTTCGCAAAATTGTTTAGAGTTTCTACCACAACCTATAGTCATTATGCAAATATACCATAATCATTCTCATAATTAGCATTAGAAAATCTTCAAAATTCATTCCTTTCTAAGACATTATTAAAAACAATCTAGAAAAATTCACCAACTCATATCCTTGCAAAGAATGAGATGACTATTGCTCTAATTGAGCACTTACCAAAGACTTGATGCAAAGAACGCACTTATAGGAATCACACATGTTGCATATCTACAATTACGCAAAGGAAGAGAGTTTAAAGATAAAATAAGAAAAGAAGAATTAGATAGTTAAAACAAGAAACTACATCTCTGAATTCATCTCTTACATTTCAGATGTCATCTTAATAGGCGATACAACCTGCACATTTAAAATAAAAATAAGATCCTCCTAATCATTATAATGTTCAACTAGAAGGAACACCACGATAAATTAGAAAGAGGAAGTCCAGATTTCTAAAGTCATTTTCAGTAGTTCCCAGTAAAAATAAAGGCATAAAAATATGATCATGACTTCGTGTAGCATAAGCATAGTAGCAAGAACCACTGCCACTTTAGTGTCACCTTCTTGTGATTGCTAGATTTATGGTAACTCGGTGCCGGTAGGGCGCGTATACAGAGCAGGGATGACTATATTAAGGAACATGAAGAAGAAAATACAATAAAGAATGAGAGTCAAGGAACTAGACTAATTTTTTATTTGTACTAGAATCGAGGAGCACATTGACAGTCTAAGAGAATTGTCGACAGAACTTCACTTCCTGTCGCTACCTACTAGAGAAATCCCTTCGTTTACCTGTAAAGCATAAATGGTCTTTACGCTAAAAACTTGGAACTTCAAAAATATTGTGTGGGTTGAGCTTATATGAAAACTAATAAATCTACCACGGGCCTTGAAATCATACGGGTTTATCGGCTTGTTCACGAGTCTAACAAACCCAAGTCAAACACTGTTTGGGACTTGTTTAACAAGAGAGCATCATAATAAGCTTGAGCTCAACTCGTTTGATTAATTAACGAGCATGATTTGAGCTTTAAATGAGTCAAGCCCAAGTAATTTGTGAATAACTCATCCACTAGCAGCTCTAATATTAATGCAACAAAATGCCATGTTTTTTGTTATAGTTAACCTACATAATCTTAATTTTCACTTTTTATGTAATAGATATATTAATTTCATGTCAAGCCAAATTTGTTTGTCACATTATTTGTTATACATTGTTAATACTTCATTCTTGCAGTATATTTATGTTTTGTATGAGCATGCCATTCTCTTACCTACTTCTAAAGATGTTATGGTATCTTAATGTTACATGAGATATGATCCGATAAGCATATCAGGAAAATAGGCACGACTCACATTCGATTCACATTACAAAAAGATAATATCATCATTTAATTCTGAGGACATGGTGAAAAATCTAATACATTCTCTCAAACACATGCAAAAAGAAACCACAAATCTAAACATTAACAAGCAATACAAGTTCCGGGACTATGACATGTAATGTCCATTTAAGTTACAGAAACATATTTCTTTTTGACCCGTCAACACTGACAGATGGCAAATTCTAGACACTAACTGCTCCACTGATGAAAATTGCACATCAGTTTGTAATGAAAATTACATTACTATGACATGTAATAATGTCCATTTAAGTTACAGAAACAGATTTTTTTTACCCGTCAACACTGAAAGATGGCAAATTCTAGACACTAACTGCTACACTGATACGAAAACCGCACATCAGTTTGTAAGAGGGGGAGAGAGGGCAAAGAAAGTTATTATATGTCTACTAGTCTAGTTGTAAAAGTAGTTTGATAAATAAATCATCAATGTATTAGAAATTGAGTTGGTAAAGTGAGAGAGTATCCAAAGCTGAAAATTTTCAAACTTCCATGGAGAGCCATACCTTGAAAACACGAATAAGAAAGAATGCTACCAGTCCAGAAAATCCCATGTGAATCATCGTAAGTGTTATAGGAAATGGAAAATTGAAATACTTCGGAGATAGAACCCACTGCAAATGAATTCATTGTATCACAAATTAATATGAATTTAACATTAGAAAAACAATGAAAATATAGTTTAAATTTCAGTTTTAACTTTATGAACCACTGTACTCAAATAAGACGCCATTAAAAAACAGTGATAACAGATAATAAGCACCAGGCTAGCATCAAGCAGAAGTTTTTCTCTAATGACTGAATTATTTGTATAAAATGTTATTTGGTAATTATCCATGATTAACCATGTTAGTAAGTCTCGAAATGGAGCAGATTGATGTGAATCCACGCCCAAATCCATATTATGTCATGACCCATAACCGGATCCAAATCCCTCAGATTCTATGGATCATCCATATCCGATCCGTATCCAATATAAACATGATTCAAAATTTCAAATAGAGTAAAATATACTTGATCTGGGTTGATCTTGGGCAAAATCCAGAAGATCCGAACTGTTTTTGAACTCAGAATCAAAATCCGTTAAAATGGGAACCGGATCTTGGGTAAAATCCTCTCCATTTCAAGCCCTACATTTCAGTAGGCTGAAGATGGATATTTTTATTAACTTCACATACTTTTTATCAAATATTTTCATTCATTTTTATTGCTTTTAATATATTATATAATTCATAAGAACTCAAAGATCAAAAGCTTATGCCCGAGAGCCTCAAGGTTTAGTCCTCATGTAATATCCTTAACTTTTAATAAAGCTTTTTTAATTAATATTATGGTTTTAGGATTAAATTATAGCCAGATTTGTGATATCTCAATTGGACATAGAATTATGACCCGACCTAAAAGGATGGCTACATTAAGAAATATTATAAATACCATGGTGCAGTTTGATGGTTTAGTAGATTAATCTTAATAAAACCGATTATCTATAGTGGTATTGAGGGTGACAAATATAAAGCAAAAAAAAAAGAAAAAGAAATGAACAATGGTAGTGAAATGAGTTGTGGAGAGTTTAGAGATTTGACTAAAATGGGAAAAATGTCAATGGGCTTGGAATAAATATGCAAAATAGGTTAATGGTGGAGAAAACTGTCATCAACATCATTCTTGCCTATACACTACATGATAGTTTTGCTCGACCTCTTTCCCCACTCTTTTCTATTATATGTCATATCTTCTACTAGATTAAATTATTTGAAATAATTTCTTATCAATTCATTCCATGTTAGTTTTGCTCGACCTCTTTGTCTCTTTCCGTCCGTGCAAATCAATCCTCCTCCCCTCATGGGTGCATCTATAGGTCGGCATTGAATATGCCCATACCACTTAAGTCTGCTCTCTCTTATTTTATCACTAATAGGCGTCACGCCTAATCTCTCTCTAATCCTTGGGTTAGTCCTATCTTTCATAGCTATTCCTAACATCCATCTTAACATTCGCATTTTCGCCACATGGATGGGTTATTTGTGTTCTTTTTTAGTGTCCAACATTCCGCACCATATAACATAGGAAATCTATGTTTGTTTTGCAAAAAAATAAAAAATAAGGAAAGAAACGAGTGGCAAGTGTGCATGTTTTAGGTGTCATGTGTGCATGTGTACACCTGCACTTTCTAGATGCAGCAAATGTGGTCTCTCAAAGAACATATGGCTAGTATGTTATATACATGGGTTAAGTGCAAAAAAACCCCTCGCTATACAAAAGGTGTGCAAGAAACACCCCTATTAGAAAAAAAGTGCATATAAATCCCTGTATTATCTATCTTTTGAGCAAATTGACCCATAATCATCAATTTTGACCAAATTTTTTAATAAAAATTCCAAAATGCCCTCCTAATGTAAGTATGAATTTTATTTTATTTAAATCTAAACGTCTTTGTCTTCCCTAGAATAGAATTACCATCCAAACTCTCCAACTCAAATCTCTTCATCTAAGAATTCAATAACTTTGTGATATAACTTCCAAACCATTCATGAATAACCACCACCACCACCACCACCATAGGTGTTTATATATATATATATATATATATATATATATATATATATATATATATTGTAATCGCAGGAAAAAAAAAATAATAAAAAATAAAAAAATAAAAAATAAAAAAAATAAAAAATAAAGCATCACCGTGCTTCACCACCACCACCGAACCACTAACCGGCGAGAAGGAAACTCAGTAGGGAAGCCAAAGTTGAACCCAAACTTAAACAAGGCATCCCAAGTTGAACCCAAAATTAAACAAGCATTCCTTGGGTAATTACGCTATTCAATTGATAAGGAGAGAGAGAGGAGGTGGGTATTGGTGATGGATTCACAGGTTTCTTTGTCACACAGTCAGCCAAATTTTTTTTATTTTTTATTTTTAATTTCTCTCTCCACCAACCCCAAATCAAACCTCTGCCATATGTGTGCTTCCAGTGGAATTTGGAAGAATGATTCATCGATAAATAGGCATGGTACTATTTATGTGCATGTTTGCGTTTGTATATACAGAGAGGGGGTAGAGAGAGAGGAGGTAGATGGAAATTTTAAAAGCAATTTAGACAATTTGGACCAAAAAAGTATGGAAGTGGTCGGGAAGAAGGTTGCCGGAAGAGAGAGACGGACAAAAAATAAAATGGTGACTTATATAAAAAAATTAAAAAATAAAATGGAGAGATATAGAGGGGAGAGAAAACATTTTCCTCCATTATTAATTTTTTATTCTTTATGGGGTATTTTAGACATTTCAATTGCTAAATTGACATAATGTCCTTATTTGCACAAATTGAAACAAGAGGGGGTTAATTGCACCTTCTGTATATTGTAGGGGTGTTTTTTGAATATGCCCATACCACTTAAGTCTACTCTTTCTTATTTTATCGCTAACAGGCGTCATGCCTAATCTCTCTCTAATCCTTGGGTTAGTCCTATCTTTCATAGCTATTCCTAACATCCATCTTAACATTCGCATTTTCGCCACATGGATGGGTTATTTGTGTTCTTTTTTAGTGCCCAACATTCCGCACCATATAACATAGGAAATCTATGTTTGTTTTGCAAAAAAATAAAAAATAAGGAAAGAAACGAGTGGCAAGTGTGCATGTTAGGTGTCATGTGTGCATGTGTACACCTGCACTTTCTAGATGCAACAAATGTGGTCTCTCAAAGAACATATGGCTAGTATGTTATATATATATATATATATATATATATATAGTTGCCAAATAGCTTCCAAGAGAAGCTTTAAGTGAAGTCTCTCTATATATACATGTTATATAAGAAGTGAGGAGAAAATGAAGCCTTCTCTAGACCTTTATATATACAGGAATAGGTATATTTCATAAGAGGAAAAACCAAAGAAGAACAAGAAAGCTTCAGATAGAAAAGCAGAGAGAGAGAGAGAGAGAAGCTTGAGAAAAATTGGACAAATTGTGCAAAAAGCTTCAAGGGAGGAAGATTTCCTCACTTCAACCTATTTTGAAATATTGTTTTAAATTCGTTAAAAATTAGAAAATTTATAAAAATGGTTCTTCACATGTGGAACATAGATTTGAAATTGTCTAATTATGAAAAATCGATAGATTTTCAAATGTATGATTGTGCTGAAAAACTGAACTGAACAATATTTATTTTTAGTGAATTTTTCGAACAAGAGGTGTTGCTGTAAAGAAAACAGCTTAAGGAGGACTCGAGGTGTTTTTTTTTGGAAGACTTAGCTCATAGAGTTGGGCCATGTTCTATTTTGGGGTTAACTTGCATTAACTAAATGGACTATGTGAGTTTTGATGTTACATGTCTTGGAGATCAAAGTATCTTGTTTCGTAATGTATATTATGGACCTTCGTATCATGTACATATTAAGTACTGTATGGAAGTTTGGTGGGAAATGTACTTTAAACTCTGATAGTTACCATTATTTAGAGTGCTTTATTGGGAATATTGCACTACACTAGGTTTCACTTCTTATGAAGATTTTAGACTTTAGGAGTTAGCTTAATTTTAATTCCTTTAGTGTGATCATCTTCTCTGTTTTTTGATAAGTAAAAATTCATTAAAGGCGCTCAAAAGGGGAGCGATCCCAAAAGAAAACACATGCCGCGAGCCACGACGCTACAACTTTAAGCTATCCAAAAAATCCAAAAGACTATCCGTATATATACAATTCCACCCATTTACCCAAAAAACACAAAGAATTCAATATATTGTATTTGAGAGCCCAAATAGGAGACTCCTCCCCAACAAAGGATCTCCTATTTCTCTCACTGCACAGCCCCCACCATATACATAGAGGAGTGGTCCTCCAAGCATCACGCACTCGGCTCTCCACTATACACCCTTTCAAAGCCTCAAGCAAGTCCAACGTTGACTCAGGAAACACCCAAGCCAATCCAAAAGCAACCAAGAACATATCCCAAATATCTCTCGCCACCGAACAATGAAGCAAAAGATGGTTCACAGACTCCCCCGCCTTCTTAGACATGCAACACCAACCCACCATGACCTGACGTCTCCTTCTGAGGTTATCACAAGTGAGAATGCTTCCAAGGGCAGTAATCCATGCAAAGAAAGCCACCTTCAAAGGGGCTTTCGTCCTCCAAAGAGCTCTCCAAGGAAAGGGTTGGCTAGGAGTCTCCATCAGATTCCGATAAAAAGATCTAACCTCAAACACCCCTCTCGAGGAAGCCTCCCACACCATCTCATCCATTCCCACACCCTCCACCACCTGGTAATATAACAATGCAAGGAAATCAGTGACCTCCACAATCTCCCAATCTTGAAACTCTATGCAAAATTGGTCATCCCAAGTAAGTTAACCCTTCCATAATCAAGCCGATAATAGTCAGCAACTACAACATGTTTATTCACAGAAATTCCGAAAAGGCAAGGAAATCTAGAAGCAAAAGAAAAATCCCCGCACCATCGGTCCTCCCAAAATCTGACGCGTCTTTCGTTTCAAACTTTGAACCTGATACGTTTGGAGAATTCAGCCCACCCCTTCTGAATGAGCTTCCAAGCCCCCATACCTACTGGGACTCTCGCTTCCCTTGAAAACCACCCTTCATTTCCTTCC